AATGCGCAAACATTTTGATTATCTTGAGGTAGGGGTCGTTTGGACCGGGAGCTTTGTGAGACTGAATGGACAAAAGGTTTTTCGCAACGCTTTCGGGTGTAACAGTCGGCAAGACATCTGAATGACCGTACGATGACCATCTGGATTGAATTTCTGGGAAATCATTTGTTAGATCTGCGAAAAACGTATTAATCATATTTGCAGCATCACTATCTTCGAGTTTGGAGTCTGATCCCTGCTCACTGAGATTGATAGAATTTTTGGGCTCAAAATACTATCAAAATGAAGCGAGACGAATCCACTGGTATACGGTCGAAAAAGAGAAAACCAATGATACCAAAGTTATCAAGGGTCAAATGTACTGCATTTTTTTTTTAATTCAACAAATTACAATTTCGCTTGGCTTTCAAAGACAAAGGCTATAAATCGCTAGAACTGTTGTTTAGTAACACATTTGACATTCGTAATTAGTACAATTTCTAACGCTGGATCGAACGGTGGTATTTTTATTCTTATTGGGTCATTAGGCATTACAAATACACTATGAAACGTACTGCGAGCGATTTGTAAACAAATACAATTTCGCTTGATTTTCAATTCAAAGGCCATGAATCGCTAGAATACTAGTGCTTAGTAACACATTTGACACCCGTAAGTACAATTTCTTACGCTGAATCGAACGGTGGTATTTTTATCCTGATTGCGCCATTACAGGCATTACAAATACAAACACAAACCTGTAGACAAACGTAATGCGAGTGATTTGTGATCAACAATACGTTCTGCAAGTGATTTTTCAACAATACAATTTCGCTTCATTTTCAAAGGCCATAAATCGCTAGAATACGGGTGTTTAGTAATACACTTAATATCCATAAATACAATTTATTACGCTGAATCGAACGGTGTCGCTTTCTTCTCAAAATATAAAGCAGCGCAGTCAAATGTACAAACTTTTATCAAACTTGCGATTTGCGAATGTTGCTGTTTCCATGCGAAATTCCTTGTTCAATTTTCCCCAATTTTCCTCAAAATGGAGGGCTATTTATGGACAATTTGGGTAAAATTGGCAGGAGCCTAATGGATAATTGGGGGAAAATTAGGCAGCTCATTAATATTCTATTTTGTGGCTATCGATCTTAGCTTCGATCCACGATCCACTATCCGAGAAAAATGCGAGCCGAAACCTATACTCGCCCGGGGCACAAGTGCCCAGCGAGTAGTTAGGCTCCTTCGCGGGTTGAGCGTATTAACTATTTTTTTGTTGATTGATGAGAGAGGAGAAACGCAAAGCATGCATGTTTGATTTGCTGCATGGTTTTTATAATAAGTTTGAACATTATGCGTGATAGGCTATTATGGAGATGCTAGATAATCAAGTGACCTATACTGACATAAAGTTGCCACAAATATTTCTGAATTTTCAGTTTAGAGGACATTTTAGAACTCTACACACTTTATGCAGTCTGCATAAGTTATCTCGTACTCTTAAATTCTAGATCTGCTTAACTCTTAAATTCTGCTTATTTGTATATAGGCCCTTTGGTATTGAAATTTCGCGGTATGGACACAAGCGAATATGCCATATCCGAAGCTTCTTCACTGGCACTAGAATCCATCACTGCGTGTTTTTTTTATGTCTGGCTCTGAAGCACAGAATGAACGTTCCACCCTGTTATCATATGCCGCCGCAGGGACAAAGCATGGAAACGAGTTTACGCTATGGATGGATCCAGATATGGTCTTGTGGATCAAATCTGATTCCCACCGGTATGACATTAATTAAACAAGTGATTTTCTGCTTCAATTTTCCAGTGACTAACTATGCGATCACATCACTATGGCCTCACCCGTGAAAGGAGACAAAGATAATGTTATTTAGTGCGGCTATAAATTAAGCATATCGCAACGAATTTCTCTTTATGTACGACCAAATCTTCGATTATAGCTCAAACATTCTTAAACATTATTATTAGAGGTTTAGTGTCACAACACAAGTAACGCAGTCTTTTGTTATTGTTTTGACTTACCCAAAATAAACATCTAACGAAAAAATCCTTGTTTCTTACATTTCCAACAAGATTCAGACAAAAGCAAAGGAGTTCTCCAAGGATGGTCTGTGTTCGCAATACCATGCTGTTGTTATTGTATTGACTCACCCAAAATTAACATCTAACGGCAACCATTCATTGTTTCTTACATTTCCAACAGGATTCAGACAAAAGCAGAAAGGATTTCTCCAAGGACGGTTTGCGTTCGCAATACCATGGCGTGCCGCTAATCCTTTAATAGTTATCGTCTCCGAAGCTATTTGAGGCAGTGCTATTGCCAGTTTTATCGCCTATTTCGCCGCATATAGTCCCCTCCCCCAGATGGTGATGCATGTGTTTATAACCAGGTTACGTATAATTAGTGCCTTTATCAGTGTATTTAATTTAATGTGAGAAGCACAGGTCCCCGTGTTGCTCACAAAAAAACATGTATAAGTCTTGGAATATGGAGTCATTCCGAGCCTCTTTTTTTTTATAGAATTGGAGACTTGCTCCTTGCTGATGGCCAACTTCATCACGTGTGTGTCACATGGGAGTCATCAAAAGGCACGTCCACAGTATACAAGGACGGTGCTTTGGTTAAAACAATTGGTAATGTCATGACTGGAGAACAAATCAAAGGTGGCGGAATATGGGTAATCGGTCAAGACCAAGATTCAGTTGGAGCTGGTTTCCAAGCCAAAGATTCCTTTAAAGGCTATGTGACCCAAGTCAATATTTGGGATAGAGTTATTGGTTCCAATGAGATCAAATGTTTCGCAAAGGATTATGGTTCTATTATGCAAGGAAACTACAAGGCCTATAGCGATTTCAATGTCTCCAGTGCTACTCAGTTGATTAAATCGTTATGCTGTCCTTTGGCTCCAATTTCTGAGCCATGACAATTCCTTACTTGATAATTGAACGCCTTTACACAAACAAGGGCAGATTTCGTGTTCGACCAATCAGCGCATTTGTTTACATTTACGCTCTCAGCTAATCATAATGCAGGAAACGAGAAATTTACACCAAGGCGAGCTAGAAAATATTGCCGTTTTCTCGGGCTTCCATGAGATTTAATTTAAAGCCAAAAGATTATGATGTAGCACATTAAAATCTAAAACTTTGCCGTGGGCCTTTTTAAATTTCGACCTAGAACGGAAAATATCCGTGTTTGAATTTTTTCCCTATGTCGCGTATACAAATTTGAGTAATCTAATTTGACTGCAATAAAACTAAAAATTGCTATATTTTCTCTTCTTTACGTTTTTGTTGGAAAACTCTTCTTTTCTCTTGTTGAGAATCATTTTGGTCAATGTATTATTTCATAACCTAGAAGATAACGCGTTTAGAAAGTCTGATTTTCTGCAAAATCGGCCGGACAATATTTTTGTATTGATTTCCCGTATGATCGCGAGCGTGCGACTATATTTTTTTAAAATCAAGCTCTATAAACGCGGTTTTGATATAAAACTTTGACCAAAACAATTTACAACAAGAGCTAAAAAGAGTTTTCCAACTAAAACTTAAAAGCAGAGAAAATATAGCAATTTTTAGTTGTATTGCAGTCAAATTAGATTACTCAAATTTGTATACGATTTGTATACGCGACATAGGGAAAAATTTCAAACATGGATATTTTCACTTCTAGGTCGAAATTTAAAAATGCCCACGGCAAAGTTTTAGATTTTAATGTGCTGCATCATAATCTTTTGGTTTTAAATAAAAAAAAGTTAAAACTGAATCTCACGGAAGCCCGAGAAGACGGCAATATTTTCTAGCTCGCCTTGTTTTGTTAATTTCTCGTTTCCTGCATTATGATTAGCTGAGAGCGAAAATGTAAACAAATGCGCTGATTGGTCGAACACGAAATCTGCCCTTGTTCTTTACTCATTATATATATGCACTTTGTTTGAATATGTAGAATAATTTCTTGCTACGAAATCATGTCAATTTGTTGTTTAGCAAATAAATTGAAACTGCTTTGCGTTTAATTAATGCTTTTTTCCTGATACTTATATTAGAGTTCTCGACGCCAAGTAATTTTTCTGATACTTATATTAGAGTTCTCGACGCCAAGTAATGAACATTAATAGTGAGCTTAAGCAAGTGACGTTTTTGACAACACGAACGGCATGAGTAACGTCAGAAAACTGGGTCAAGGGCTGTGATTGGTGAAAAACGTCAATTTTACTTCCGGTCGACGTTCGTGTTGTCAAAAACGTCACTTGTCTAAGCTCACTAATGATTTTAGAACTAGGACTTGGCATAATGCAAAATCTAAATTCTTGGAATTAATTTTGAAACGATTTCTTGTGCATGAAATCGTTAAGTGTAAATAGTACAGGACGTTATAATTTTTCTTATTGCAAACAAAGACATGGTTGATCGATTGCATATTTGTTAATGGTAAATTTAAATTTAAATTTAAATTTAAAGCATTTATCGCGCTGACCTTTGGATTGCGTGCTCGTTGTCGCCATATCGTTGGTTAATGGAACAATTTCTCTTTTGACCGGCTATAAGGATTAAGAGTAGACACAGACAGGTTTTGTGTGGGAGAATGGGTTATCGGAGTGAAGTACTCATGTTACAATAAGTGTCATATCATAAATATATTTAATTGATTCTTTATGGCCTTATATTTCATCCTGCGGAGTATATATAAGGCCCGCTTTGAAATCCTTAGGGGTAATGCTCCATAGTGCTGCTCTGGGGGTAAGGGTCCCCAGAGCACATGCCAGAAGGGTAGCGACCCCCTCTGGCCGTATTGACCTGAACCAAGGTGTAAGGGTCGCTTGGCCAGTTCCTACAACTCGACTAATTATCTCATACAATCAATGAGTCTATGGCCATGAAGGTGTCCTTTGGGAGCACTTTAACCCCACAAATACAGTAAAGTGTATCTGACACTTGAGTGTATTCCCCATAGACGAGACAATCCACGCAAAAATCACAGCTTTTGACGTTTTATTTGTTTGTTTGTTTGCTTGTTTGTTTTTTGTTGTGTTTTTTGGGGGGTTTTTGTTGGGTTTTTTTTAGATGAAGTTACTTGACACAGTGAAAAATTTGGATGTGTTGGCCGGCATGGCTGATACTCCTGATAAGGTAGGTACCGGTGTTTTAATACAACGTTCGTAACAGTCAGAAGACCATCTTCCCAATGTTTTAATAAGCCACGAAGGTAAGTTTGCTTCGGCTGCAGTTGTTGCAGCCTCTATTCTATAGCTACGACCAGCATAATTTTAAGCACTAAAACCAGGTAGAGCGAGAAGCTCACGAGTTTCAGTAGTCTGCTCGCAGGCCGTTGTCAGGCAGAGGCTGCATGGGAGGAACGGCCTGCGACCTTTATTAGTAAAAAGTCGATTTATGCGTACGCTCCGTACGCAAAATTCCCATTGGTCAGAAGTGCCCCATGAGTTAATATCGTGCAAATATTTAACTCGTACGACATTTCGCAATGTAATTTTAAAGCTGGCATTCAATCAGTGGCGTATAAAACCATGACTTTGTTTATCTCTTCGAAGAAGTAACTGAATGTATTTGAGAAACTTTCAATTTAAATTAACGTTGAAGGATGAGCGAAGGTTAGCAATATTAACTGTACTTCCAACGGGATTTGATAAAAGTTTAATATACCAATACTTTGTCTTCGTCAGCTATAAACCTTTTCCAAAGAAGTACAAGGGAAAACTTCGACATATGCCTTGCTGATCTTTGCAGAGAAAGTAAAATAAGTCTAGTTCAGGCTGACAATTTATCTAACCGCGTTTGCATCACTTGCGGCAGAAATCTTCGAGACTTTTGTATGTGTTTTCCAACGTTGAACAACTTAGCCCATCGAGACGTTCGTTGAGACACAGGCAGTGAATCAGCTAGTATAAAGCAGTTGATTGTCAAATGCCTCCGAACATTTCTCCCAAATACTTCCCTGTTAACCCAAGGCTTTCTGCCTCAACAATCTGGTCTTGAATAAGCTAAGACAATGGGCAAATTATTAAAACAGACGCCGTCGAGGAAAGTCGTTCTTAGAACACCTGGCCAATTTGAATTTACACCTGGAAATTTTGCAATAGTCGTTTGCGTGTTCTTTGACCGAAGTCCGCTCTCTCTTTGAGACTTTCTTTTTGGGAGTCTCAACTAGTGACATATATTATTACAACAAGAGCTTTTTACAAAAAAAATGTAGTTATTAAACACGGCAGAATCGATGCCGCGGCCACGGGTTTTCAAATTGTCTATTGTCTATTGAGTTAATTGTATTATTGAGCAAATGACAGTCTTCACGCAATAATGATTAATGTTGTTTTTAGCCTGCTATTGTTCGACACTTAATAAATAGTGTTTGTTCAAAAGCTAAATACGTCTCCTTAAATCTTACAGTTATATTTTGGATATTTAGTTACAGTTATATTTACTATTAATAGTTACATAATTTAAAACGGCAATGTATACGAACAAGACAGCAATATACAAACGGGACTATGTTTTAAATATTGGAACACTTTAGGGAAAAAAACGACCATGCATTATTTTAGATTAAAGTTTAGACCTTGGAATCCTAGTGAAAGATGCAGGCGTAAAATTGCGTGAGAAACTGTTTGTTGTTATTAATAACCATTGGTAATCTAATTCACAAAACTTACTTTGATTGGCTACTATTTACCGGATATTCAATTATCTCAAAGGGGACGTATTGAAAAAATATCAATAAAAGTCGCAGACTCTATGTATAGAGCCGGTGAGCAGGCTAGAGTTTCAGTGGTTAGAACTTGCTTGGTTAGAGATTTTCCTGAGGCATGGATAAACAGTGGACCAATTGTGGCGGGACGTAGAGAGATGTAATTTTCTAACGCCTGTAAAGGGCAAATTTCAGAGATGGTTGCGCCAACAGCATCCTCGTTCCCAGGGCTTCTCGGCTGCCTGAGTTGCCGTAAGCCCTGGGACAAGCCGAGGCAGAAGTGATTTGATTGGTCGTTGAAAATAGAGTGAAGTATGAAAAGTTTTTCATCAAGTGGATGTTTATATTTGGCAATATGGCTGCATTCAAGGAGTGCGCATTCGAACTACTGTACGAAGAAATACAGACGTATAATGCTTGGTTTGTGTGGATTAATGGAGATAATTTGCAAACAGAAAGAAAGAAAATAACAAAATAGACAATTATAAAATAGATGTAAGCAACAATATCGAAGAAACGTCATCTATGAATCCATTAAAAAGTTCCTTCATTTTAACATTTTTCTTGTTATAAAGTTGTCTATTATTAAAACATTGTGCTCAAGTATAATTGTAAAATTTAAAGCACACTGTAAATATAAAATGTTTAAAAATGTATACTTACGATAGTAAAGTTTTAATGGTGTAATATATTGTTTTCTTATTATGCTTTTGGTATTGGTCACTTGGCCTATTACCTACCTATAAATGGCCCTATATTAAAATGGCCAATTGAAATTTATAAATATAGCATATAGTATATCTTAGGTGTATTTTACTATTTCTGAATTTTCTCAGTTGTATTATTGGTGAGTAATTTTAATAGCCTTTAATTAAATACAGTATATAAGCTTATAAGCATATTCAATTGCACCAGTCATTTGAATCCTGCACCTTTGGCATACCAGAGGGGAATGCAAGGACAATCGCCTCCTACTCACTGGTTTATCATTTCTTGGCAAACAAGCAAGACACTTAATTTCAGTGTCCAAGTTGGGGAATGAGTGAGGTCATGGATCATTGGGGGAGGGGGGTCACTTAATCTTCTATTTGCTGTATATAAATGCTGAAATAAAGCAGCCGGCTAGGGAAGGCTTTTACAGAACAGTAAAGGAATGGTTTTGGAAATTTCAAGTAACTATTCCAATTGAATACCTCGGAATGATATGACCAGAGCATTTTT